GGGGGGGGGCAGGGTCCGTCCGCAACAATCCTCGAGAGATGTCGGCCATGAGGGGTTTCCAAGAGAGGCGAGGTACGGTGTTCACGACCATGCAACGACGTTGGACGTCATCGAGTGCCTGCCGTTGACTCCCGGCAACGAACACGGGGTTCGTTACGCGAGCAATTGGTTTTCCGTGGCGGTGGTGAAAAATCACAACACCCCCATCATCGATACAGCAGTTGCAACAGAGCTTCGACGCTAATATGTTCCGCATGCCCGAGGAAATGTCCGGGTCGAGTCTCCGGTCTAGACAGAGGAAGAAGCACTACTGGACCTCCGACCTCGGGGTGAACTCCATGTCTTCCGCGTTCCCTTCCCGAAGAAGACATCACTTTTCGAATGTAGCTCAGTCCCAATCGAGGCGTTGGCGTACCTACGTGAGAACAACCGTTCTGTCGCGGCCTCATTCATGAGGATTAGATCAACTGCTCATCACGCGCAGGGCGCATGCTGCTGTCGGGCGTGTTGGCAAACGAACCTCCACACGACCCGTATTTACAGCAGTGCGGCCCGCTCTGTGGCCTGAGGTGCGTGGCGCAGCAATTCCAAGCGGTTACTGGCTGGCTGACGTGGGCAACCTTGTACGATGACGATTGGCCGGATTCGAGCCTGACACGGACCGGGAGATTCGTCCATTCCGCGCCATGCGGTCGTTGACGGATTGCCCACATGACACAATGAGAGATAGCTATCGTTCTCTTTCGTGTGGTACAAACCAACCGCCAACCTTCTATGCGTGTTCATTCGAATTTTTGGTGAGCCCACCGATCGACATGTCTCCTCACCTATCAAGCTTCTGAAGTTCCTCGCGGGCCAGGCTGTAAGGGAGGCGATCGACTTGTTGTCTCGTGCCGCCGAAATGAGTCAGTATCGTAGAGTTCAACAGGTAAGTTGGCGATGTTTCGTCAGGGTCGCCTCCACGATATCCCCATCACACGATGCCAGCCCCAGCAGTTTCATCACCTACAGCCTACATGGCTTGTTGGACGTTCTCTTCACCTCAACGTACATTTTCGTCTGCTGACGCGGCTGACGTCGAGAAAACAACGCCTGAGGCCCCCGTGCAACCAGGTGGTGCCCTTACAATATTGCAGGTCAGGTAGTCGCTTCAGTAGGCGGGCTAGGCGCTTTGCCCAAAGACGGCGTTGCTTGATTAGGCCAGCAGTTGCCCCGGTTTGTTTGGTTTGGCCTTCACCCAACACTATTGCACTGCTTGAAAGTCAAACGAACCGACCTACGTATCTCTCATCCGACCAGCGGAGGAAAAAATAACATGAACCAATCTATGAAAAACAACGACAAAAAATCGAGGCCGCCGGCCGTGTACGCTCGAGACCCGTACACGCAAAAAAATGGTCGGCCAACAAAAGCATCCGACCCCGATGAAAGTTTTGAAAATAAAGGCGTTGTTAGACTCACGAATTATCATCGGTCTCTTGACTTTATTGTCCCCAACTGAAAACAAGACCTGCCATCTCAAGAACACGAGGTCGTCCTCGCCGCAGCCCACCCGTCCTGCTTTGTGATAAAATAGAACAAGAGGCCTGTAGGATACTTGTATCGCACCGCAAGGCGAGATTCTCCGATCGAACTACGAAGCAGAAGTGGATGGTGCGGGGCACCCGAGATCCACGCTGAGACATGTCCAACAAAACTGGCACAAGTGCCACCCAGCCCGTTTTCATAACGACGTAAACAAACATGGTCACGTGTCCAGAAATCTTGTCGAACAAGAAAATTCCTTTTAGATTTCTTCCGTCTCTTTTTCATGAGTCGGTTCTCCTACTGTAACCTTTTCGGCGTCTACCTCTTAATTTTGCCTGCCGCGAAAGAATGCCGTACTGTGTGCTTCCTAAAATAGGACTCTTGCCAAACAGAATACACATGCCAGGGGGGGGGCGAGGGCGGACCCGTGTGAAACACAGAGTCAAACACCTGCTATAACGTGCTCAGTAAATACGATCCCCACATACCCTGCTGTTGCGCGAAAGACATCATGGCTACAAGAATAAGGGATTTGTCACTCTTTCGAACAAAATGTCACAACGATCAACCAGTGTGTGTTCAATCACGGTTCAACACCTGCTTGAAAAACAGGCGGACTTGTTCCTCCTGCTCCGGTGTCTCGGGGGAGACGCGGCTAGATTTTCCGATCGCCACGGTGCCCCTGGTACGATAGTAACGGTCCACCCGGTTGAGCGACTGCTCGGCGCTTAGTTCCGGGTACAGCCGTCCCAAAAGGCAGGATGCGATGAGACCTGTTCTGCCCCTACCAGCCCAGCAGTGGATGAAGGGCACCTGCACGGAACAGTGTTGCATCACCGCTGTGACCCCTTTGTTAATCGATGAAATCGAAAAACCTCATATAGCCAGACCGCACAACATCGTCCAAACTCGAGTGTGTCTCACGGAGCAGTGTGGGGGCGTCTTGAAAACGCGCCCTTGTGCAACAACGGTTGAATTATCTGCAGAACATGAGGGTTTCTCAATCGGGGAATAAGTATAGCGTGAAGCTCCGGTCCATTTTTCCATCTAGCCTCCTCTATCACTCATGCACACACATACCCGTCCAAGGACATTGCAGAATTATGCATGTTATCCATCCCCTTTTCATGGCGATACCTGCCTCTCCATGGGCCGCCACGTACGGACCCATTTCTTTCCACGGAAAACCGCACCAGGCCTTTCAGTCGAAATCGGATGGTGACACCAGAACCTTTTGGTCGTTGCGCTGACATGAAGGAGGCAATCCTCGCGAAACATGGCAATCCTACGATAGAAGTAATTGATTCACCCAACGGCACACCCACTGCTGTGTATAACACCATTGTGGCACATAAGCATATGCATTACCTTTCCTGACCTAACCAGGGCCTCCAGCTCGTCCACCAGCCCCGCCAGAATCTCCGTGTTCTCCGCCGGCGACAGGTCCGGTATGGGAAAGTGGTGAAACGCAAGCCCTTCCTCCCCCCTCGCTCCCAGCACTACCTCCGCCGCCCCCTCCCCTGTCCCCTGCCCTTGTTGTTCTCGCCCCCCCCCCCCTTCCTCCTCGCTGTTGTCTGCACCGACGTTAACAGCGACGTTCCCGCTATGGTCTGAGTCTCCCTCCACCTGACTCGAGATCGTCAAGGTTGCCGCAGAACCAGAAGCAGGAGCGTGGGTAGCGGCGGCGGCGGCGGCGGCTACAGCGGCCACGGCATCTCCCCGGTAAGCACGGAACCCCGAAAAGAACATGCCGTTGTCGTCCTTATCAGCCGGAGGGCCCCATTGACTCTCGTCGTCCTGTGGAGGAAGCTCCGCCTGCGCGATCCACGAAAAAAAGATTTTCCGGAGGGCGTGGACTTTGGCTGTTGCCGTCGAAAACTCAAGAGGAAACAACGACAGGAGGGGTCCCGTGTCATGAGTCAGGGACGGGGGGGGGTGGGGGGGTATGGTGGGTCGATTACAGAGCTATTGCGTGCACGAGGGCGTCGTCGTTTTCTTACGGGATACCTTCAGACTTGCCACAGCGGAGGGAGAGGGCATTGGTTGACGGTGCAAGTTTCTTCAATCTACAACCCAATCAAGTTTTTTATGAGGGGGAAAGTGGGACTGCCCACAAACACGCAATATCGAGGAATCGTGGTTGCCAACAGCTTCCTGCCGATGCTTCGTTCAATTTCGGCGGCCTCGAGCCATTGCGATATCCAATCGACATCGAAGTCACTATAAAAGTGTGCGCGACATAAGCAACGGTCAGTAGCCCCGGAGAAAGACCGGCAATGTTATGTTATATACTTCGGACCGCCGCGCCGATTAGGTGCGTCAAAGCAGAAACTTTAGTGTCCCATCAACCTCAGCAGGCGCCAACCTGCAGGCAGTAGAGGTCCGTTACCCCGCCCCTTAAGACAATGTCCAGCACACGGTCGCGAGCGATCTGTACGGTCGGTCCCGTCGTCAGGTCGGCCGGTATCTGTCCAGGGTACTTCCCCAGCAGCACCTTGCCGGGCACAAGCCTGAACAAGAGCGGACCGGCAACAGACGTATGCGGGCAGGTAGACGTCGGAGGCGCCGAAGGAAAGACATGTGGAATGTTAATGATAATAGTGTGGTTGCGCTGTTGTTATAGCATGACCTCCTGTTGACGTAAAGGTTTGTACTGTGAAATGTTCGTTTTACTTGGAGTCTGGTCGGGGGATGCAACAGAGAGGAAGCCACGATGAGATCGGATCGGACAAAGATGCTGCGCTTGCAAGAACGACTTCGCGGGAACTGCTTTATCAGCCGTCTACGGCGATGCCACCATAACAAAACGAACGGCTGAATGTAACCGCTCTCTCTCGTGGCATGGCCTCACAACAGGGCACAAGGGGTCGACCCGCCTCCACCTCGAGAACAACAAATAGTATGAACATTTTCTCGTGATTGTCCGTTTTTCACAAGCAACCAACCCTCCGGTGATTTTTTGTGCGATTGGCCAGCTGCGTGAAATACAAATGTGAGGTCAGCATGAACACCACTTCCAAGTTCTAAAAATAGCAACCACGTCCAGGTTACGATTCTGTTCATCCCGTGCCGCAGGAGTAATGCCGTCGTGGAACTTCAGCACGAACTCTCCCCAAACATTTGCTAAAGCCGGGGTTCCTTACATAGCGATGATCTTCTGTAGTTAACTGCGGTATGTTGCTACTCATGGCACAAGGAATGACGGATGACTGCTCCCCGGAGCCTTGGCGTTGAACAAGTACAGTCCTGGGGGAGGTACATTGCTGTATGCATACTGCATGCAGTACATATGCATGGTACAAAATTAAACTTCATTTCATCTCCACAGACCGGTGATTTTTTTCTGGCCGTTGTCGGTGAAACTTCGTTGCAAGGACACACTCCCCAACACACCAGTGCATTCTTTCTCTGGAATCCACCCGAGAAGTGGGAAATTACTCCCAGATGCTAGCATAAATACACAAGATACGCGTTGTTCCTCGCCCTTCCCCCCTGACGATTCCCCCTCGCTCACCAGTTCGCCCGCTCCGCAAAGTGATGATTCTTGTAGATGAGATCCTCGTCCTCGATCGGGACAAGGTTCGGTAAGTCAAACGCACTTGTCTGCGTCGGCCGGCGCGCCTGATCGTTGCAAGAAAACATCGCGGTTAGACAGGGGGCAGAAGACGTGGACGGTATACCGCGGTTATTGTGCTGTAGTAGCAGAGGAAGCGGGAACGTACGTAGCACGCTGTGGCGAGAAGCAAGTTCCCCCGGAGGTTGAAGAAAAATAAGCCGAGAAAAATCTGAGAAGGTTCATAGCTCAACCATTGTGTCCACGAAGTCGAAGAACGTAAGCACGTAAGCACCCTGTCAACAGGCGTACCGTAGGATCGTTGGCGCTATTTTGGTTGATTATGCGCGCTCTTCATTGAAGTTGCACACAACAGCAGTCAGTTAGCAAAGAAGAGAGAGAGAGAGAGAGAGAGAGAGAGAGAGAGAGAGAGAGAGAGAGAGAGTTGCGAGAACAAGAGAAATACACCAGAAGTGATGGATCTATAAGCCGGCTGTGTCCACTGCTGTATGTACAACATCTCTTGAGTAGCTGCCGTGCTTCTCGATTCATCGTCAGACGTACACGTACGCAAACTTGCTGAGTGTATGTAAAATACCTGGGTGGAGAGCCCATCCTCGACTTCCTCCTCCAGTCGTAGTCGAGACAGAGGGCTCAGAGCAATTCCTTTACGCGTGGACGTACTCATCGTGTTCCAGCTTTTCCTGGAGTTGCATCCCCTACCTCCAAGGCGCTTTACGCCATCAACGGGTGATGGGCACGATGGCGGAGAACGTCCGCCGGCAACGAAATCGAATTTTACGTTCATGTTTGCGTTTGGAACAACCCAGCCCGCGATACCATGGCTCGCTGGGGTAGACATCCCACAGCGGTACCTAAACTGGCGTCGCGGCAGGATCAACAGAAGCACTGGGTGTTTGTGGTTGCAGCACAAGGAGACATGGCATCTCCCCCACACCCTCTGAGCAACAGGATGCAGCAGCAGCAGCAGCAGAGAAAGAGAGGAACGCGTTCGTTTTGGTCGATGGGGCCCCTTGAGATCGCTTACAGTCTCGTGAAACGGTCGAACAAATACAGCAAGTACGGCTTTCGACGCCCCGACCACAACATCGCTCCTGCTGCTCTCTCGCTCTCCCTCTCTCTGTTCTTATCGCATAGACGAACGCCAACCACGATTGCTTCTGTACACCCCGTATCGATTCAAGCTCACAAAACATGGCCGCAAAAGTTGGTGCCGCTGACTCCGCGATGGATGCCGAATTCCTGAAACGAACGGTCGGCGAACCTTTGTCAGATGCCTTGACGGCGCTGGTTGTGGCCCAGCCGGCTGACCCGATAGAGTTCATCGGCGAAGCTCTTCTTGACTTTATTAAGCGCAGGGAGGCAGAAGCAAAGGTATGGGACTTCGTCGTGTATGTAGCTGTCAGGGACGCTGCCGAGGGTAGAGGAACATTGATATCCGCCCTTGCACAGCTTGCCGCGTTATTGGTTTGCCGGTGTTCGTTTGACAATTCCGTGGCTTGCTTCAGGAGCGAAGTGCAGTTGTTGAGACTACATGTGTATGGCAGACCGGGCCGCGGGTACATACTGCCTGTTCCAGGTGTGCTGCTGCTGATTTGTGAAGTAGTACTGTATGTGCTTTCGCCTATTTAGCATACTACTGTAGTTCTGGCCTCTGCCAGCCCAGCATCACCCTCTCGTTCTCCTGATAGACTAGTGCTTTCGTTTAGTCCTCAACCAAGAGAAACGAAGTTTCCGCGAGTCATACATTGTCAAACCAGCTTGGCCAAGTAATTGACGCAATCTATGGTAGCCCGCATGTTGTTTGTGTGTGTTGTCACCCAATGCATCCTGGGCATCAGAGTTGACAACTTTCGGCATGTACTGTGCCCACCACGTGTCCGAGGAATCAATCACGGGTTGCCCTATTTGAAGCGGAAGGGGGACGCGCCTGCTCTTGTAATGACTCTTGTTGCTGAACATGTACGACAAGCATTACCAAAGGATGTTCAACATGTTACAGAGGCCAGCAGTAATCCTCCGGCGACCACCCATTTCTTGCTCATACGTTTCTGTCCTTCCTTCTCAACTTCTTTGTATCGCTGGTAGCGGCACAAGCATGCGGAGGACGTAGCTCAACTACTCAAAGTGACTCGGGAACAAGAGGTAAGCACCGCCTGGGCGTTCTCATTCCAAGACGCCCCGATTTTCCGGTCATGTGTCGCCATCGAAAGCGTCTGTTCTTCAGATTGTTTCTAGCGCTACGAATAATTGCGAACTTCGTATTCAAGCACACTAAAAGTATGCCAGGTAGGCTACAGAAGTAGCTGAGTTGGTCAGCTTTCAATCAGACCGTTTGCTTAAAACGTGCAGACACCAACAATGCTCATAACTACCCGTACAATGTTTGAGCTTGGTCGCACGACTTACCCATACTACGTTCTAGCAACGGAGGAGAAATTCTAGATATTACTTTCACACCGCCTTTCTTTCGTTGTGCTCCTTCCGTCATGATAGTCTACATACAAAAGCGTTGCCAGGAAGAGAACCTAGTGGCAAACGTGAGACAGACGTAAACACGATGCCGATGACCACACCAACAACCAATCGACAAGTTCTCACTGTTTGTAGGAAATCGCCCGCGCTGAGAGTGCGGCAAGAGAAGCGGCAGTCCAGGCCAAGTCGGACGTCGAGCGGCAGGCGGAGGAAGCCATGGCACACGCGTCGACTCATCCCGAATTGTACACAAAGGTGAGCGGTTCAGGCAATATCGACGAGGACCCGACACGCATGAGGACGAGCGCGTAAGGGGCACGACCCGCTACTGCTGAAGCGACAAGGTAGCGCTGCCGAGACAGAACGTCGTGTAAACATCGTGGAAGGTTAGCGAACAGGACGTCATACATAATCTGAAGCCCGCGGGAGAGATGAAACTACCATGTCTGAAATAGGGGTGTGTGCCATCCAACAGCTCGTTTTCTTATTGATTTGTGTACCAGCTACAAACAGCGCTTCGTGCAGAGTACGGGGCCATATTCCCGGTACCCTTGGAATGTAACGCCGCACAAAAGTACGTACATGGGACCATTACGCGGTCGTACATCCTAAGGTTCTAGAGTGACTTGCAAAATGAGGTGTTGGTCCCGAAATATCGCCTCGTTTCTGTTCAACCGTGTTCAGGCGCTCGGCTTGGTTAAGGAGAGGCTAGGGGCGAGCGGTGTTCAGCTTGGGCGGAAAGTGGTGGTGGAGGGACAGGAAATCGTGGAGTTCATCGCGGCCTCAGAGGGTCGAGAATACATGGTCGGAAAGGTCGGTGCATGTTTGCCGCTGCTGTAGTTAGGCCGGTTGAGCGGCGCAACTGCGTTGTATCACCGAACTTGTTAGAATCGCATGGCTTACTGTCCATCCCGACCTTCTAGGCCGACCGCACTTTGTGTCAAGGATTGTCTTTGTTTCTCGGAAGACCTCCTCCCGTAAGTTCGCCGCGTTTGCACCGTGCGAACTCCTCGGGATTTTTTCTTTTTCGCATTTGTTCCATCCACGTTTTCAGGAGATCAAGGGTTTGAAGGAGGGCGAGGACCCAGAAGACGGCGAGGCTAAGGAGGAGGGTGTAACCTTCGACCTGTGGAAGAAAACGGAACAGCCGCCACCGGCAGAGCCCGTATATGACGAGGTGCGGCACGCCACTGTTGCTTTTATCTTGGGGGTGCATTATACCTTATCGTGTTTACAACTGTCGTTCCTTTGGAAGTCAGGATACACAAAAGTTGCGCAGGCAAACAGAATCCACAAATCAACAACAGACGTTGCAGACGTGGCGGACGTGGCGGACAACTTCCCTTTTTGTTGGAGGATTTTCACCAAGAATAAATAGGTCTTGAGTGTAAGAATTTTGTCCACGAAGGCGCACTTTCATCTTCCGACATTCTTGATCCTAGATTGTGCAAGTAGCCTACGCAACGCCTGGCATTCCTCGCCACATGTTAAGAGAGAAAACGAGCCCCGGCTTGTGGGACGGTCGCCACCCGTTGTCTCGATAGCGTTACTGTAAGGGTATTATCGTATCGATTATCATGGTTAGTCTAACATGCTCTTTCTGCCCGCCATGCATGGCCTGTTTCTTGAGGTGCAGAGGACTCGACGTACGACGTTGCATCGTACTAACGGAATGTTAAGCACGTTGTCCTGGAGTGTAGTGTTTCTTTGCAGCTTGTTGTCCATAGCATTTTCAGAACGCCAATTCTACGACTCCTGGTGTCAGGTGTAGTTCAGCCACGATGTCAAAGGAGAAATGATCGGTTCGTGGCCTTGTCACGCGGCCTATCAGCCTAGTAAAACCAGCGTTCCACCACAAGGAGAGCTCGACTTGCCTACTCCCGCCTCTATATTCGACAATACACGATCTTCGACCACTTGGTGGTGCGGTTACCTTTCTTGAAAAAACTAGCAAACCTCACTCAATGACCGCCGCCATTGAAGGACTCTGCCCCCAACTACCGCGGTACAAGTCGCATTATATTCTAAATGAACGTTTCAGAGCACTCTCCTTGCCCGATGCCCATACTACGGCCGGATACCCACATTACGCCCTACTTCCAACCTTCGTTGTGCCTCAACCGGGCGGGCGGGACCGTAGGAAGGCGAGCTTGTTCCGGGTGAAAACGAGCCCGAGCTAATCCCGCCGGAGCACGTGCTGATCGAAAACGTCGTGCGCGACCCGCGCGTCAAGTTTTTCGGCATTCCCAAGCTGGGGGCGTACCTGGCCCTCCCCATCACCTACGGCTCGTGGCTACACCCTGGAGGTTTGTCGAAAGACACGACGATAACTATTACGATGATGATGATGGTGTTGGCGTTGCTGCTGCGACTACTGCTGCCGTTCTAGTTGGCGATATTGACTATGTTGGTGGTGTTCTCTAGTCTTGCACGTTGCTCGATACCTGGTATGTCGAGTAGAGTCGCCAGGAACGGGAGGTGAGCACGCCTACGGCCATGCAGCCGGTAGCGCAGGGAGAATAACCGTTCAATCTCAACCCGGCCGAAATGAAGCGGGACAACATTTCTTGGTCTACCAATCGAGCAAGACCTGCTCGTGACACTAACCTCCGTCTCTTGTCTTCGACGAGAGATGCGGTCGAGAGACAGACACCGGAACGTTGGCACGAAGAAAGCACTTTATGCTCGCTGTGATGAACTACCCTCCCCATCTTGGTCTCTGCACGCGCGCTTGTGCTCCAGGCATCTCCGATGCACCACTGCCGTCAGAAGACGAAGAAGCCCCCGACGAGGAGGAGGGGGGTTCCAACGAGGCGGGCGCCGATGCTGCGGCGGAAGAGGAGGTGTGTGGGTGGGTGGGCCGTCGTCTTGCAGTCGTTCTCCAGTCCTGGCCGTGACGTAAACTGCACCTGTAGATCTACGACAGCAGTATAGATGCTGTTGGTCTCGACAGACGGCCAAGTTTTAGAGGGAAACCGAGAAGGGTTGGCATGCGACGTCACGTTGTCAGACAAATATTACGCCCGTGGGTGGTAAAACTGAGGTACTGACTGTTCAGAAAGAACTATTTGTTCTTCCACCGAGTCGCGTTGTTTGTTTGAAACCCGAACTCACGCGGCAACTCAGTCTAGGCCGTGCAAGGAAATTCCTACTGACACCCTTGAACCTTATAATTAATATGGTCTTTCTGTTTCCAATCTTATCCTTCCGTTCTGGTAGACCCACGGCTGTCCCACTCCCCTCACCCTTTTCTGGTCGCGTGGCAGCCGGGGGACGGGGCCGAATCAGGGAGCTTCACAGACGAAAAGCCTCCAAAATCCCCCGCGAGCCTGTATAGCAGGAACGACGCCCCCGTTCAACTGGTCCTGAGCATCGACACCATTGGGCAGGTAGCTTTCGCCAGCTCGAGTGCATGTGGTTGTGTGTCTCATAATTCGTGTTTGCTAGCCGCCTTCCCTGACTTTTCATGTTGATCATCAGCCTCGTTCGAGTGTCGTTCTAGGCAATGACGGGAAAAGCTGGGTTCATGGAGTGGTGATGATTCGCGGAAGTCATGGTAAGGGTGATAGGGTGTCGAGTTTGGGCGACACGAATCTCAACACTGCTGTTTGCTTGGGTTACGTACGCCAGCGAGGCAGTTTTACGTGCTCCAAGCGCCGACCAACAGAGCATTGACACGATCCAAGACGAGAGACGCACCAAGGCGCCTTTCGATGATACCCGCACAATTATCCCGCAACTCCAAGGTTTTGACGGTGAAAATACCTGACAAGAACCGAAAGCGTCGAGAGAAATATGATTTGACAGAAAACCGTTCCCGCGACCAAGACGTGCGCTAAGCTGCCGACCCGACCAATGTCCTTCCAGAGCGGCGGAATAAGCTCCGTCGAGGAAAATCCGCCGAGTCTATCGCCCACCAAGCATGACGGTCATCCATGATAAATTGTTATAGGGGCGGTGCTTCAACTCGAGCGATATCCTATGGGCCAAGTCTTGGGCGGCGAAAGTGAAGGCCAACGTTGAAGCCCTCGAGGTATGAACATCAATGAACAAATTGGACCATGGTTTTGTGCACTGCCTTTTTCCGGTGTTCGTTTCAAGTTTTTTTGACCAGCGTCACTTCTGTCATAGTGGAATGTGGAATGTGGCTAAGCGGTAACGTTGGTTATAGTGCTTTTGCCCTCAATATCCACCGGCTAGGGTTCAATCAGTTTTGGGGGTAAGCTCACTTATGGGGTACCAAATGGGGAGGAATGGTCACACCTGCATTCCAGTTATCCAAGGTCCGAACCTAGCAAGCTGCTCCTACAGCAGATATTCCTTCATTTTCACGAGAGATGCGCAGACTCGCAGTCTTGGTTGGTCTCAAGTGGTATTGATTTCAGCGTGGTTTCGATACCTTTCGTTCACATCGGTCGTAGCGGTAACTATGTGTTGGTGGAGCCATGGGGTGCTCCGCGATTTTAGGGTCTTGCGACACCCAAGCCCTCCCCGATAAACTTCGCAGCTGATCAGATCTCAGTATTTCTAAAGCGTTAAGTTGCTGCTACATCGTTTTTACGCTTACAAGGGGGGATTTTTTTAACTTTCCGTATTTCTCCCCTGTCGGTCTCTCTCTTCCTCGCTCCCTAACGTGGCGTGCCTCCCCCCCCCTCGTCCCCCGTCCCTTTCAATATTATCTCCTAATTCTCTCTACGACACTTGATATGTCCACTTCATTTCTGTTGGGGCTCCTGATCTTTCCGTCGCAAGGTTTCAGGGTTCTCATCCGAAACTCGGGGCGGCCGGCATGCACTCTTTTCTCTGGTACACGCACCCGTGTTCGGTGACGAAGCATCGCTTGTCTGGTTACTTCCCCCGTTGCCCTTGCCCCCCCCCGAAACATATTTCCATACTCTTAGCGTCAGCAGTTCTGTTCGTTGTCCAGAAAAAGTTGTACTGAACAACAACTTCTTCACTTGCTCATCCGCCTGCCTCCCGAAACTGTCCTGTTTTCTTTCTTGTCGGATCCTCGACGAAAACCTCAATAATACCTACAGTGTCGCATGTTTGAGGACGAAGCGGCGCTTATCCCGTCGTTGCGAGGGAGCGAGGTGACCGATCTTGTGGCGAAGGTCACGGAAGGCGAGGAAACTGCTGTTGCGGAGGCGCTGGCCCTGCTGGAGCCCGGTACCCCGGAGGCCGAGAAGGACAGAGTAACCAAGGTACGCAGCAGGGCCGGCTGCGGTCGGTGGTGGTTCGTTCGCGGTCAAGAGAAGTAGCTATAGACAGGTGGAATTTCGGCGCTGCTCGCTTGCTTGCTTCGCGATTATGATAGTAGCGAGTTGTTCAGATCACCATCGCACTATTAATTAAGAGTCCCTCGCTGCGCTCGAGGCTAGACCAAGGACAGGACGGAAAAGCGAACGAACTACGGGCCCGCTCTCAGATCAGCCTTTTCGGAATGCGGGAATCTACGGTGCTGAAAATGCCCTCACTCCCACCGTACACAACAGCGCTCTCACCATCACCTTCCCGTACCACTCGCGTCTTCTACAGACTATTCAGTACCGCATCAAGACGAAGGCGGTGGAGGCTGTCGGAGACCTAGTGAGCCTAATGGGGGAGCTCAACCTCGCCCCCCCGGTAGCCGTTCTCGACGTTCTAGAGCGCGTGTTGCTCCTGGTCGGCAAGGATAGGGCTGATCTGTGTGATTCCAGGTGCGCGAGGAGCCTGCTATCGGAAAACAGTCGACGTCTCGTAGGACGAGCTCCAACTCTTTGTACAGGAGCACGAGTGACATCAAATTTTAGATGGAGGTCTCCAACACAATCATTGTCAGATCGCGAGAGTCTCCTCGACGTTTCGGAGTCAGTCATCACACCAACACCATGCATACCAATTCGTTGTTTTGATATGGCGGGTATCGGTGGCAAGTTGCGAAACTCTGATCGACTGATTCTTGAACAGCACCAACGCGACGATTGATTGGACGACGAAGACAAGCTCTAACTCCTACAGTACAGAACCTGGATTGGTACGTGAACAGAGGAGGCACTTTACCACTGTAATAGTGCGCCGGACCGGTCGCACTTCCGAAGACAGAGAGAAAAGTATATTTTGGGATTGTGAACTGTGTACAGGGGATGATAAGGACCATTCCAAATGGGAACGAGATGGTGACAACGAACGGATGTGCCTGCTAAAGTTTGGTACCATGAGAGCCCAAGTGCGAGAGAAACTTGTGACATCGGGAAAAGAAAAGGGAAAACCGTCGGTACGAACATGAATAGAAGCACGTGACGCCCGAAAGTTAGCGGTCTATCTACAACGATAAATAGAGAGGGTGTTTGGTCGATGGTCGAAAGACTACCGTAAGTAATGTGTGAAAGCCTCTCCTGCTGCTCACGTCCATGCTACATAGGGGTACCTTGGACTGGGTAGCCAAGATGCGGATGGTCGTGAGTACGGAGCTTGTGCCGGCCATCTCGGCCTTCAATGCGGAGGACCCAGCCTCCGCGGTGCGAGCCGGAGAGGCAAAGGTGGGCAGCAGCGGCCAGCGATGAGCTATGGGCAGTTGAAGCCCGCTCCGTTAGCACGAAACCAAGCAATACCTTGACAGTCGATAGGCTCGTGACTTGTCTGGCTGCAGTGTATTGTCGGAAGGATATGGCAACACGGAGCGACGCTAGGTTGTCTTTCAGCTTACACCTCGCATTAGAACACCCCCGCTCGGAGTTCCAGTCACCTATTGTTCCGGGGAGGCGTGCTCCCCTAAGATATGCCTGGTGACGGTCCTAGTTGCTACAAGACAGCCTTCACCTAGACTTGGAATGCCGTGGAGTCAATGGTGGACGTCCAACAGTTTGCCCGCCGTTAACCAACCGCGTTCACGCCGCACGTATGCACGCCTACTCAGTCAAAGTCTCCGACACCGCTTGAACCTTCCCACGTTTATCCCCCACACATCTTTGACTCCTGTTGCCAATATTTAGCTGCTTCTGTCGCGCTTGAGATCGCCTCTCCTTGAACACGATGCTACCATCAGGAAGCCGTGGAATCGATGGACGCAGAGAGTGTGAAGGCCTCGAACGTCCCCGCGCTGGTACTCCTGGAGTGGATGTCCAGCGCCATCACCGAGGCGGAGGATGCGGCAGCGGCGGCGGCGGCGGCGGAAGCGGCGGCGATTGCAGCGGCGGAGCAGGCGGCGGCGGAAGCCGCGGAAGCCGCGGAAGCCGCAGAAGCCGCGGAAGCGGCCGCTGCCACTGCGGAAGAGGAGGGCGAAGAGGACTGACGAAAGGAAAATTGACAGCAATACTAGCCAAACGGGGAAGGGAAGGGGGATGTGGTAAGGTTGGGCAGGGTGGGGGGTCTTGCCGCGAACGACCACAAGTGTTCACAACAACGGCGGGGGGGACAGTTCTATCGGGGGTACGTGAGTTGTATCAATCGGTTTGGTCAACCCAAGAGTCCAAGAAGCACTGCGAAAGAAAGTGGAGCAACGGCTATACGGCGGTCGTCCCGGAGCATGGGTTGGTGGGTGTTTGGGTGTACCGAGCGTGCTAGAGCATTTATTTGACTTGTGGATTTGTTCTCGAAGAACCCACCAAGTAGAAAACTGAACTGGTGACACGTCGTTATGAATCAAGGTCCGCAATTCGCACTTACTTACGGGGTGTGTTTCTATTCGCATGATTTTCTCCCCTCATGAGGAGCCCGTTGAGGCTCTGAAGTTTGACTGTCCTTGTCATCTACTTCGAAGTATTATCCCTTTGGAGGTTTCTTCTCCTTGCACGCCATGCTGGACGGAGTGTCTTTTGATACAACTGTCTCACGATTGATTCAGAGAAGTTCTACAGAAAGAAGTGTATAAGTGTTTTAGCTGACCAGGCCTGTGAGCTTTTTTTGTGTCGCACTATGGTCACTCTGGTCACGCTCTCGAGTGTACACGCCTTTGCTTGCATGACCCATCATTGTGCGATATGCAGCAAATGAGCACCGTACCTTCCCACCGCGGCAAATAAATATGGGTTTGTTTGGTGCTGCTCATTTGTGTCGGTGTAGACTACAGTATCACTTCCTCGCCACCCAAGCTCGCGCTTCGCAATTCGCAACCCACCGTGACGAATCCGGAAGCTGCGCGGATGCTCCATTCCTAGAAGGGGCGGGGATGAAACGTATTAGGGGAGTATTGAGACACCATCATCAGCTAATCAATACCATTTCACGTCCATCAGTTCCCGGCTTCTCTGTGGTGCGGGGGGATTTTTTGGAAGGTACAGTGTAGTAATAGGTCGAGGTGAAGTGTTTGCATGCTGCCGCCCGCCTTCGCACAACAATAAGGTACATGTGTTTAAGGGCTAGGCCTGGAGGCAGACGAGAAGTCAGCGCGGGTATGGTAAAATTGCTGGGGATACAGAATAATAATAATATCGTTGTGGAGCTCTCCCTTCCTAGTGGGGCCTTCCCGTGTTAGTCCGCGTGGATCGGGGCAGGGGGCTACGGAGATGAGTGACCGAGCAATCGCAGCCACAAACAAGTTCCGATCATTTTCTCGCGGGCCAACACACGAGATACGATCTGAGCCTACAGAGGACAATAAACGTAACAGCAAGCCGCGAAACGTAAATTAGACTAGAAGGGGATATTGGTTGTAGCATGTCACCCCCCAGCTTCATGACTTTCTCTTGAACGCCATGTCCATCTCTCTCTCTCTCTCTCTCTCTGCACCAAGCGGTGGTGATGGCAATCATGTTTGGAAGGGGAGCGAGAGTCCACATGAGGATAGGATAAGGGGTGAGAGGGAGAGGGAGGGAGAGAACGTGCAGCGTGCCACTACTATATATTGCTGTGCACAACAAAGGCAGACAGACAGCAGAGACCAGCGAAGCGAAGAGTGCAGGGGCGAGAGGGCGCGCTTTCGAAGGCGTATATAGGCCAGCGCTGGCGAGGTTCTTGCGCTCGCCAGTTCAACAATTTTTGGGTTGTGATTGGAGGTAGACACGAAACCAAAGCCACAGCAGGTTTCCAGCCCTCAGGCAGCACCAAGGCGCTAGCTAGGCCTCACTAGGCCTTACCCACCCCACCCTAACCCAAACCCAACACCCTTAAATCGGTTGTTGTTCAGTGGATAGGCCTAGCTAGGTCGCTGTACCGAGCTACTGGAGCGTGCAAGAATCTCGCCAGCGCTGGTGTATATACAATGAATGGTATATGACAATAACAATCAAGCTAATTTGTCCTTGTCATATACAGTGCCAGCCCGCACTTAAGAATATAGCACTTAAGAATTTGATGCTAAAAAAAATCAAAACGTTACCGATAAGAACACGTGCTCAGCTGCACGCCCTGTTAGGAAGAACACACACCTGAGGTGCAAAACTGCTGCTACAAATAAGAACGATAGCAATGCAGCGGCTGCCAGAAAAGAATACTCTCAGGGGGAGGGAGGGAAGAGGGGGGAGTGATCCCAGACAGAGTACAGAGTATTGGATTTGGGAGGGGTACATACCCCACATATCAACATTTGTATTTTTAAAGAGGGCGAGGGTGGGCATTGTACGCACGCGTCGTGCCCCTGGGTGCCCCCGAGAAAAGCGTGATGCGCGGGCGGGGTGAGCTCCCCAAGGCGAGGTCCATTCTTATCATGGACAACTTGCACGCGTAGACCACGGACGAGTTCAAGGAGTATCTTGCGAACCACTACAATACTCTCGCCTGGTATGGCCCTTCGGAGTGCACGGACGAGGCGCAGCCAGTTGATGCAGGAGCCGGACGATTTCTCAAGGTGGAAGTCGGGAGGCAGATGGACATATGGCTCGAGCAGTCGGACAACCTCGAGAGGTGGGAAACCGCGTCGCTGACAGCTTCTGATCGGCGCGTCCTGATCGCTCAGTGGATGGGAGCGGCCATGGCAAGACTCAACAGCCAACAGGCGTACCGATACCGCCTTTTCGAAAAGTGCGGGATAGCCATGACCGTGGACGGCTCGGGCGATGATCAAATCATCTTGGAGGGTTTGGACAAGCCGTATACCTTCGCTAACGATGAAGACAGTAGCGACGACGAACAAGGTTCGGAGAACGGCAACGATGAGCCTGAGGGGCGGGCGGAGGAGGACGATGGAGGACGTGAGACGCTCATGGAGGGCGTTGACTCCAGCGATGAAGACGACGGCGGTAAGTTTGTTTTGCACAAAACTAACTCTTCATCTTCTTTTTGTTGATGACGATGTCCTTCATGTTGACATCAGCTTGTTTCCGCGCACGGCTACACTCAAATTATGATAAGTTCAGGTTGAGTTTGGCGACGTGACACCCTAACTTCCTGTGCTTCCCGTTGCCTCGTTCGCAGACATCTCTCAACCCCAACCGACGAGCTAGCTCTTCTGGACGACGACGACAGCATGGACCCACAAGACCCGGAGGATGAGATACAGGGAATGGAGATCCCGGCAGGCTTTCGTATTCAAGAAGCTAAACCGGTTGCTCTTGACAGATTGCTTTTGCGGCGTGGAGTGCTCGTTAGGCTGGGCATGGGGTGGTTTGGAGGGTTGATCACTCAACAATCAATCTCAGAAGGACACTCGCCACCTGTACGACTACTGTGTGCAGCTGGAACTAGACCAGAGTACGCGCAAGATGAAGTTGCCCTTAGACAAGTACAGCGGAGATTCGGATGCGGCTGTAGGCTCCTGGTTTTTATTTTTAATTTTCTTCATATCACACAACAAATCCGTCTCTCTCTATCTATAGAAATAAGTCTAAGATGGATTAGCAATGAACCCATAGCGTGAGCGAAAGCTACCTGTTTGTCTACGGTTTCTTCCCAGACAGCATTCAGCGATATCTCCCCTGTGGGTAACAGGCTCAACAAGGCAGTTTGGTAGCCATCTTGTGTATCTATCTGTATGTTATGTTGGGAAGTTGTAGACGGAAAATTTAGGGGAACTCGGTTTGTCGGGTGTTCTAATATGGCACCCTTATTATTATGTGGTTGCGGAGCAAGCGCGTCTCGGGGTGTGTATATTTCCGTCATGAACTTTATTTTTGTGTGTGATGTATGGGAGCATGTGCGGGACGGTGTTGTGTAATTGCACGTCATTAAATGTGCGAAGGGCACGGGAGAACATTATCGCATCATTGCCTCCTGACGTGGCCGTCGATAGACTCGAGAGGCGTATGGTTGAGGTTTCATCACCGATATGTGGGTGTGTGATAAATGCAGTGGGTATGGTCACCTCTCTCGCCCGTGTGTCTGCAGAAAGTATGGCTACCTTTCCCATTTGTAGACAGCGCGGACCATAAGTAAAGGCAGAGTGTATCATTTCATGCATCTACATCAGTTAGTTGTACGTGGAAAGGGAGGAATGAGAGGTTGTTCAATTTTGACGGTGTGTGTATGGGTAGAGGGAGTACTCCCTGTGTCCGTGTTGTTCCCAGGTTTTGTCGCATCAAGTGGCAGCATGTGTCATGGACAGGTAGACGTGGAAGGGCGGCGAGAGTTGAACGGCAGCGGCAGTATGTTGTGCATGGTGGCATGTTGGGCTTGTACAAAGACGCAGTCCATCTTCGACCACACACAAAGGAGTTTGTTCGTACCTGTCGGAGTTTTGGCGGGCCCGCCAAGTCAGTCTCAAGCAGCAGTAGGAAGGAGCGAACAGACGCAGTGCTTCTCTACAGCTTTAGACTCCATCCTCCTCAAATCCTAACGGAGATGATTACGTATCGCACAACGGCTGGATCCGAATTGCAGGCTAGCTCCGAAAACCAGGAGAGGTGGGGGAGTAGCTCAGACGAATGGCTGCGTGTGCGCTCCTTCATGTGCATACTTGGCTGACGCTTTGAAGGGTAGACTTCTGGTTCAGTGGAATTTTGGCGGCATTTCGGTATTTCGGGTATTTGCCGTTGTCACCTGGATGCATGGGAATTTTGGCGAAGAAGTCGGTCATAAATTTGTCACTCTACTTGCAAGGGACACGTTTCATTTTCAGTGTTCCC